TCCACCCAGCAAAGCGTCTCCCCCGATCGCCGGCCAGGCTCACAGTACTGCACTGCTCCGGCTGTCGTCTAAATACACAAATACCGACCAAGAGAGGTTGAGACACTTGCGAGCAAAGGACAAAGGAAGTTGTGTGCTACACCTAGCATCGGGAGACGCTGCCTGGCAATGAGTTACATTAATACCAGTGGCAGGAGGTAGCAGAGACGCATCTTGGGGGCATAAAAATGAAGCTGATCTTTTTGCCTCCTTAACTTTCCAGCCAGCACTATTCTAACCAGCCAAGCCATGAGAGCCACCAATCAAATCACGTCCCGCAGGCACGCCAAACGCGTTCGGAGGACGGACAGCGCATGAGTGTTGCCGGTACAGAATATTTTCAGGAGCGGACTCCCTACCTCCCCACAATAAAAGGTCCCTGCCCATTCTGATCTGGGACCCCGTTGACACTGGTGTAACTGTTGGCTTCAGTGGCTCAGCCCAGAGCGACAGCAGGGTAACAGACCGGAATAGGCACTAGCACCCATTCTATTTCTAACATACCAGGAGGGAGGGCTGAAGTGTTGCATGTTAGTGACGTTAACTAATGAGCACTTCTCCCACCCAGCCGCCACACAAAAAGAGCTGGTATGGCACCCATAGAATCCCAGACAGAGCCGCTTCGACTCCTCTATATATTTATGCTAAAACAGTGTTACCACTGCTTGAATCCAGCTGTTCCAATTATGGAAGGGGGGGGGAAGGAGCAGGAAGAACTGAAACAGACTAAGCTCTATTCTTCCTGTGAATCCCACATACAATCAAAGGCAGGATTTTCGAGCCAGATGGGCCTTTCACCACAGCACAGAGCAGGAAATTAAACATTTGGCCTTGGAAGTTCTCTGAGGTTAATATGAGGCGTGATAGCCGCTGTTGGAAATTAAGCTCTCTTTGCAAATTTCAACTCCCTCTCTCTATCTTGCCATACACAGAGCAGCAGTAATTAAGAAAACAGCCTCTGTGCAACCTGCAGGAGCTTTGAAAAGGCGGAGCACCTTACTGCTTACCTGTGGGCTGCTTTCCTCTGTAGATACAGTACGTAAGAGATTAAGGCTAGATAGCAGCATATTACAAGTCGCCTGTGACAAATGCACATCGCTTTTATGATCCTTCTGTGGAACTTCCGATGCGATCGCCAGGTGAGTTTCAGTTTTTAAAAGAAGAAACTTGAGCTCACTCGCTGCACGGGTTAAAAAGGAGAGGGGAAGGCAGTGAGAATGACTAAGAAAAATGCAACTCAAAAAATAAACTCCTCCTGGAATTACAAGGGAGCCTTGCAAAAGACCACTTGAAAGCACAAGTTTCTTCGTCAGCGTAAGGTCGCTGTGCCTCTGGTACCAAGTCTTCCCTGAGACTCTGCCAGGCTGTAAAATGCAACAGATTCTTTAAGAGTGGGGGAGTTCGTGTACTCTTAAAGGGTCAGGAACCACTAAGATCCCATCAGCCTGCGGTGCATTCGCTCCTTTTAACTCACTGAGGCTGCTACAAAATCCACCGCTTCAGACAGGTTGAAGAATTTGGGCGCATTCATAGTAACATACGGGGGAGAGTTTCTCTCGCAGTTTAAAGAGACGGAGAGAAATTTTGGCAAGGGGATTAGACCAAAATTTGTCACGAGTTTTTTGGGGGGGAAATCTAGGCACCGTTCCATGTTACAATTTAAATAGGACTACAAGGTATTAAGCCATTCACAATATACAGGTAAGAAAACCAAAGCTAAGTGCTAGTGGCAAAATAATTGCTACCACACGGGTAAGAGGCAGTAATTAGTGACCACGTTCAGATGTTCCGATTCCTGCCTCTGATCCCAAACCTCTTTGAATTGGAAACCACATGCAAGAGGGCTGAGGTTTCAGTACAAGGCTGTCTGACCAGTCAGAATACCACACACAAAGCAAAGCAGCATTTGTCACAGTACTTTTTTGGTATTTTCTCGTGTGGGCTGAAACCAGAAAGTGCAGGAGGTGTGAGATTTGTCACAACCTGACCAGAGGAAGGGGCTTCTGTTCTTTTACCAGAGTCATGTCTTCCCCATCCTCATAATCCAATACAAAAAAAAATTGTTCTTTCAGCAGTATGCAGTTTTAAAAGACAAATAAAATGGGTCTTGGGTAATTTTCAAAACCCAGCTTTAGGTACAGTATTCTTGCCAACACAAAGTTCTCCCAGGCATCCTAAATATGATTAGAAGACCTGGAATCAGATTAGAGCATTCGCTGGGAAAGGGAGCAGGGGAAGGGTTCAGGGTGTTTACCTGGCAAGCGTCCTACTGAAGACACCGAACGAGCAACATTACCTCTCGGACTGGTATACACACAATGCAGAAACTGCCACAGCTGTTCGACATTCACCTGCCTAAAGATATGAGCATCTGACTCCACAAGGAAGAGGAAATTGAGTGCAACAGGTTGAGGATATGCTGTCTACAACTAAAATTACTTACACAGCAAGTTTATAGCAGTATTCTTAAATGGATCTGTACTTTTAAAAACACATTTACCAGGGGGTCTTCTCATCAATTCAAACAGTTAAACCTAACATCAGATCAGTTATTCTCATTATACTAATGTGTTTGTAGCAAACAGCACATGGCAAGACACTAAGATTGTTCACCTGCTTAAGAAGAGGCATATCGGGATAACATTTACTACTAAGAACTCACAACAATTTGCAGCCAAAAAAGTGCCATTTTTATATAGGGAAACCTAGATTTTCCTCTCCCCTCCCCCACGTTAGACTCAAGACTGAATATCTGCTGAGAGATTAATTGTGCATCAGATAAAGTACCATAATAATTCTGTTACACTCATAAGAGAAGACGTCTGTGCATATACTACTATGCACTGAACAGTTTTCCACCAAAATTTAAAAAAAAATAATAATCAAGAAACTGCCACTCTCTCAAGAGCAAAGTAGTTTGTGAGTTGTCAGTCACTTTATAATCCTTTGTGTAGATCAGATTCTACACTCTTGTTTCGGATGGGAAAAGATCACATTTTAGCAAGTCCTCCTCAGCTATTACAATATCGAAAGTGTGCAGTCGTCGACCGGCCACTCAATATGAGGGGATTTATTGTAACCAGCCTCTTGTGCCCCTTACCCTGAACGTTTGAAAATCAGACAGGATAATTACGTGTTTTTTGGGAGGGAAACTGAAGCAGAAGCTTGAATCTCTTAACAAGACTTGTGATTTATTACAAAAGGATTCCTGGATAACTGACAGTGCTGCCTGCTTTCTAAAGGCAGCTCCTGCTGCTGCAGCAGGAATCCTTTTGCAGCAAACACCTATGGAACAGAACACCAACCCGTAACGCTACGGGAATTTATACCTGTATGCCTCGAGTATTTACATTGGAGGGTTTGGTGCTATACAAGATTTACATTTTGTTTTGTACAGCAGATGCTTTGACATAGTTGCATTCTGGAACTGTCATTCCAGGGGCAACAGAAATCTGAAGTTCCATAAATTCAGGAAATCTCCTCTCCAGAGGTGTTTTGCCATTTTTCTACAGAATCCAAGTTTATGGGGATTTTTTTTTTTTTTTTTTTTAAAGAAGTGTCCAACCCTTCTTGTTGCAGAGGTCACCTTCTCGATCCAAGCAGTAACACCAAGAATGGGGCAAATTTCCTCCCCCTTTTAACTATACAGGACTTGCTTTAGGATCAAGGTGAACTGTTTGATTGTCCCACAAACAATCCAGTTAACATGCTTGCCTGGAGTAAATGGATATACCGGTCACATCAAGATGTCCCAATCTTGTGATGCCAGATTCTATAGAAATAGGACTGTTCTAAATATCCAAATAACTAACATGTTACAAATTAGTGTCAGAGTGATGCACTGTAAAATATACAGTGCAATTTTTAAGAGGCTGTGGATTATGGGGACCTTCTGGAGCCCCAGCAGACTCAATCCACTTAATTTATAACCCAATAGGTATTTCTGAATGATCCTCTTTGCATCTCACAAGAAATATTCAGTGGGCCCAAGTACAATAGAAAACTAAAAATCTCTGCAGAAATTCTGCAGTTCTGAGGCAAACTCCCTCCTTTCTGCCCCACCTACCCTGTCTCCAGATTCCAATTGCCCCACCCCGAACAACAGGGAATGATTTCCTCAGTCAGTGAACCACTATACTCAACATGGCCTTGTGCCACTAGAATTGGGCTCCATCTTCCTGCAGAGGGAAGACCGGCCATGAACCCGCTGTAGGAAGAGATAATCCTCAACAGCAGTTAAGACTTATCAACCCACCTTTCATGATAGCTTAGTCGGATACAGGCAGGTTAACAGTTTTGAATATAAAATTTCTTCTGGAAACACACTGCATTCTGACCACACCTGGTGTTTGCTGGAAGGCCAAACTGAGCTGTATAGGAGTTTTGTACATTGATACATCACTTATCTGGTCTAATGACTACAGAAGAAATGTTTCTGGTTGCCAAAGCTGGTGCCATATATGGCCGTGTTCTTGGCATACATGATACATGCTTCTGTCCACTTCCATACTTCCTAGACAGCTAATGATAGCTTATGTAGCCACTGGCAAGGGACTATCAAGACCCTGTCGCTACCACATAAGTAGAAAGGTAAGGCTAGTTACTGCAATTCAGCCAAAAAATAGAATCCTCTGGAAAAGGACAGGTACTGCATCTTCGCAAAACGTGAATTGGCTCACTGCAGATGAGCAACAAAAAAGGTCAATCACCACTGAAGCAACAAAACACGTTGTTGGTCTATACATAAATTGTACATAGTTTTAAAATGAATGGAAAAATTACACCACTATACACCCAATGTCTGCAGCCTTCAAAATTCTCATTGCTGCCTGCAATCTGTAATTAGTTACGCAGAGTTTTCTACACTCTTAAGTGCTGTGATGTCTCAGCCCTTCTGTCTGCTGAAACGGTGGAAATTTGTTCTCCGCAGCAAAGAACTGAACACATGTGAACGAAATACATAGGTAAATACAGCAGGACATTATTGAAAACAGCTGCCTTAGAGTACAAAATACAGTACAAGTATACGGATGTAATTAAAACATCAAGAAAAACTATTGCTCCCGTACAGTTTAGGAAACCCGGTTCTTTGCAACGGAGAAGAATTTTAAAAAAAAATATCTTTAAACATTGGTGTTAAAAAGACCTACCATGGACACCAGGAGGAAAGAATTAGTTTTTAAAAGGGCAACAATACAGGTCTGTGGCTGAAACAAACTCGTGGTTAATGTTCTGATAACTGATTTTTATCACTATCTCAAAAGCTATTTTTTTAAAATCCTACCCATTCTCCCCCCCAGCCACAACTGCATGAAGAAAAAAAAAAAAAAAGCCTTTTGTATGTTCCTTATTTTCCAATAAATACAAAATAAAGATAGTATAGGTAGAGTAATAACAAAATAAGGTAATAAGGGTATGCAATAAATTAAAAAGGCAGCTCAAATAAAGGACAGGCATGCACAGTTTAAAAAAAATATGAAAGATTCTATGATGTCACCCAAGTAATATCTGGAACTTTGGAATGAATAGCACTCTCTCCATTCAGTTCAAAGTTACTAGAATACGACTAGGTGTCTAGAAATACCTTTCTGGAGGGGTAGGGTTGACTCAATTAGCTAAAAAAAAATCATTTTAGAGTGAAAAATCCATTTAAAGTGGTGCTCCCTGGAAAGAGCCCCAACTGAATTCTGGAGCGACAGCTGGACGAATTGGCAGTAGCCAGTCTATGGTGAAATTTCAAGGTGGTAAAAAATGCTGCTAGGGTATATTTATAGTCACAGAGCTTATTCATTTTGTTTCTGCTCCTTTTCAGCGATGGATCTGAAGCTCCCACAGGTTGTGTGCTGCTCTGAACAATCCATCCGTGCATTTTTGCCAACTCTGCTGTTAACACAATGTGAGGTACTGAGGAAACAGATTGAGTTCTCTTCTCTTTTTAAAAACTCTTGTAAAAGAACAAGTGATGGACTTCTGGACCTGAGGTTCTTGGTGTTTAGATTCATAGTCGAACATGTCCACTGATTTCCACTGAAGATGAATGACGCTCATGTCTCACTTTGTGCCAGTCATTCTTTCACAGACTAGACTTGTAGCCACATGTTGCTGTTCTCAACCAAGTTATGGTTTAAAGATTTAAAAACCCAGCTCACAGGCTGGATTCCACTTATTGGCTGGGTCAACCCACTGGAGCCAAGAGAGTTGGCTCTTACTTCTCCCTACTGCTAACGCTGTTTCTTTTCCAAGACCACCTTACTTGGAGAGAAGGGGAAGAACTTCAGTGAGCAGCAACCAATCCACTCAGCTTTCCTTGTGCTTTATGCCTGTTTTTCCTTGAACCTACCTCTTCGCAACCCCCATGTTTAAAAACAAAAAAATCAAAACAAGAAAGTGTCTCTTAATCTTCAGCACGCTGCCAGCGGGAACTCGCTCGCTGACCGGTTCCGGCAGCGCCCGGAGCGGAGCAGTTTGCATCCCAGAAAACAAGTCTGCAAAGGAAAGGACAGAATGGACGTTGGTCCGGAAACAGGCTCGTCCCAACTCTAGGCCCGAAGCTGCCGGGATTCCCCTCCCGCCCCGGCTAGGCCCGATCTCCTTCCCCATCGCGACCTGCACCCTCGGATCTGGATAGCTGCGGCGGCCTCTCCCTTCTCTTCAAGCGCTCGGCGGCGGCGCGGCCGCCGGGATGCTGGTTTCCATGGCGGGGGCGGGGGGGCACGATCTCGAAAGGGGCCGGGGAGGGATCCGGGCAGCAGGGGCCGGGGGCGGTCGGTGTCTGCGGTGAAGCTGGATTCTCTCTCCGCTGGGGCCGGGGCTGGGGGTGGCGGCGGCTCCCCGGCCGGGGGCGCCGCTCAGTCGTCGTCCACGTCGTCCCCGTCGGAGTCGTCGCCGGCCCCGCTGCCGCTGCCCGGCCCGGCCGGCCCGGCGCGGCGCTCGTAGAGCTTGTCCCGCTGGCGCTCCTGGATGTCGCGCATCTCGTCGGCGTAGCGGCAGAAGGCGCCGCCGAACTGGGCCCAGGCCTTGCAGGGCACGGTGATGGCGTTGCGGTAGGACGGCTTCACCTCGCTCACGCGCAGGAACACGCCGTACTTGTTGCAGCCCACGTCGAAGAAGAAGCGCTTGGAGTCCACGGTGATGGAGGTGCCCTCGGGCAGCTCCCCGCCCAGCCCCGCGCCGCCGCCCGGCCCGCCCAGCTCCTCCTCGTCGCCGCCGTAGTCGTCGATGAGCTTGGCCAGCGCGTCGCGGAACTCGATGAGGCCCTGGGCCGGCAGCGCGATGGTCTGGCCGCTCTGCAGGCCGGGCGGGCCGGGGAAGCCCGGGCCCGGGCCGCGGTTGATGGTCTGGCGGATGCGCAGGAAGCGGCCGCGCTGGTTCTCCTTCAGGTCCAGGTAATACTTGCGGTTCTCGCGCACCAGGAACTCGCTCTTCAGCGCGCGGCGCGGCCCGGCCTCCTCGCCCGGCCCGGCCGCCGCCAGCTGCTCGGGGCTGCTGGGGCCCAGCTGCGCGTAGTGCTCGATGAAGTCGCCCAGGTAGTCGCGGAACTCGGCGGCCACGGCCATGGAGAGCGTGAGGCGGCTCTTGGAGCCGCCCGCGCCCACCTCGGCGATCTTGAGGAAGCGGCCCTTGGCGTTCTGCTTCACGTCCAGGTAGAAGCGCTTGTTCTGGATGTCCAGGCGCTTGGAGGCCAGTTCCTGCGTCTCCTGCTCGGGGCCCGGCCCGCGCGGGCCGCCGAACCCGCCGCCGCGCTCGCTGCCGCTGTCCCCGTCCGCCATCTTCTCGCCCCCGCCCGAGCCGAGCCGCGCGCCCCCCCGCCCCGCTTCCGGCGCCGGCCTGCGCGCGCGCCGGAAGCGGGCGACGTGCGCCAGGCCCCGCCCCGCGGGGCTTGGGGCGCGCGCTCTACGCCCCGCTGCGACAAGGGTGACGTCACTGCCGCACCGCGACGTCACCGCGTGCCGTCATCGAATTAGAGCCGCGTTCCCTACCCCTGAGCCCCGGCTCCTCCCGCACGTTAGGCCCTGGCCCCGCCCCTACAGCCCCCCCACCTCACAGGCCCCAGCCCCTCCCCCACAGGCCGGCTCAGACCCCGCTACAGAGCTGCCTGGCCCCTCCCCTGCCCCATACAGAGCTGACCCCCCCCCCCCCCCCCCCCCCCCCCCCCCCCCCCACGAGCCCCCTCCCCCCACAAGCTGCCAGCCCTTCCCCCGAGGCCCCCACCAGCCCCCTGCTGGCCCAGGCCCTGGAGTGGAAGAGGCAATAGCAGCTCCCCACCTTTCCCTGCACTCTCCAGACCCACGATTTGCTCTTTGGGGGCAGCTAAGGGGAGCTACCGGTCCCAGCCTGGCCAAGTCCTGCAGCGCCGAGACAGCCCCACCCCAGTCAGCGGGCAAGGTGGCCATGGGCCAGCGAGTCCCCAGAGCAGCTCCCTGGGGCGAGGCCTTCCAGGGCCGATGGGTAACTTGGGGGCTAGAACGAGGGGCATCTCGCCCTCTCGCAGAGATTGGTGCCTAAATCCGGGCGCAGGGAGGCGGCGAGCCCAGCTTGCCATCCACAAAGCAGGGCAAGCTGGGCATTTGGCCACCAGAGTCACAGGTGGGGCCTGAAACAAATTGGCTGGCCTAGCAGATAGGTTATTCACACAGGCAGTGGGAGACACGACACCCCACCCCACTTCAGTTCAGGGCCCTCTTCCTGCAGGGGGAAAAGGGATTTGAATCCGGGTCAGCCACCTCTCAAGGAGGGCTCGAACCGCGGGACTGTAGAGTTATCCAACTCTTTCACTGGCCCAATTCATATTTAATTATTCAATTATTGAAAGTGGAACAGCTTCAATAGGGGTGGCTGAGGGAAGCCCACAGCAGGATATCCCCTAGCCCAGTGGCTGGGGCACGTACCAGAGAGGTGACAGAGCCCTGTTCAAATCCCTTCTGTCCCCTCTGGAGAAGAGCGGACTCGAACTGGGGGGTCTCCCATCTCCTGGGTGAATACCCTAGCAACTAAGCTGAAGGTTATGAGGCAGGTCTCCCCCACCCAGCCATTTTGTATGAACTTGCCTGCGCAGCCCAAGCCAGCAAGCAGCCTCTACACCGGGGTCGGCAACCTTTCAGAAGTGCTGTGCCGAGTCTTCATTTATTCACTCTAATGTAAGGTTTTGCGTGCCAGTAATACATTTTAACGTTTTTAGAAGGTCTCTTTCTACAAGTCTATAATAAAGAACTAAACTATTGTTGTATGTAAAGTAAATAAGGTTTTTAAAATGTTTAAGAAGCTTCATTTAAAATTAAATTAAAATGCAGAGCCCCCTGGACCGGTGGCCAGGACCCGGGTAGTGTGAGTGCCACTGAAAATCAGCTCGCGTGCCGCCTTCGGCACGTGTGCCATAGGTTGCCTAACCCCGCTCTACACAAATGTTGCTGGATTAAGCCCCCCTACTCGATGCAGGCGGCTAAAGGCCTGGCTTTCATGGCTTGCGAATCACTCTGGGGCTTAGATGGGAGACATGGGCAGAGGGTATCAAAGGCCAGGGCAGGCTAAGCCTCCCCTGACCCAGGCCCTGGCTCCGTCCTCCCTCCCCCTCTACCCCTGAAGCTGGCGGTGGCTCAGCTCTAGCCGGAGGGCCTGGAGTATGGGCAGGCTGGGCTCCCCAAAGGGGGGTTCACCTGCCGCCCATGGTGGGAGATAGGCACCTGGTGCCTACAGTCAGGCTGTCGCACGTATGCCCAGAAGCAAAAACATAGGTGGCAGCCGAGCGGGCATTTTGTGGATCGCAGTGGTGCCTAAAACTGGATGTAGGGCCCTAAGTATCTCCACATATCACACCCTCAGAGCTGCTCACAGAGAGAAGTGTTGCTTCTAGGAACTTCAGGAGTGTAATACTCAGCCTGCGCAGTCCTAAACTATTACTGGATATTGTTTTAAGTCTTGTTGGGTTGAGGTAAAAAATGTGTCAAGACCAATGACAAATTTTGGCTCGAGTATTGTTAGAATGGAGACAAATTCAGCGGAATCAGTTGACGGAAGCAATTGTCCAGGGGATGGTTTGAATCCGTTGCAGAGGAATCCTTCAGCACCGATGGTGTTAAACATTCCTCGCTGACACCAAAATCCCACTGGTCCACTTCCCTGTTTCTGCTACAGGCTGGGCAATGTTCAAGCAGAGCTTGCTAGCCTGGGGGAAAAACCTTTAACACAGAGATATGGCTCTGTCCTTTGCAATTCAACTGCTCACAGTTGTGAGCTCAAAGCTTTAAACCACCAAAGGGACTGGGTTTAAATATCTTATGTGGCTCATCAGAAACTCTCACCACTTTCCAGCGACAGCTCGACGCCATGATGCCCATTTCACAGAGAGGAAAACAGTCCCGGAGGCTGAGGGCTTGCCTACCCGGGGGTTTAATCGGCAGTTTCGATGTGTGTCAGATAACGCACAAGCCACACTGATAGTGTGCATGCAAGATGGGGAGCGCATCAGTCTGTATGCACAGCAGCAGCTTGCTGTGTACTAAGGGCCAGGTGTTGTCAGAAGGTAGCCCAGGGTGCTCTGCTGCTGAGCAATGTGTATTGGGATTTTTCTCACTGCATTGTGGGATGCCTGGTGGAAGCCAGATGAGTTACATTTTTGTAAAAATCCCATGTTTCTCCACCCCATACTTCCTTTCTGGGCGGGCTAGCGCCATTTTCAAATCGCTGTCGGCCAGCCTAGGCCCACCAATGCTCCATGCTGGCAACCCCAAATGCATGGGCTGCCCTCACCACTCCACGCTGGATGAATTCGGCTGCAGACTCCGCCTGTCGCACCACTGAGCAGATTTGTCAGCAGCAGGGCTCTTCCCGCAGGCGCTGAATACGTGGGACGAAGACAAGGAAGAAGAGGCAGACGCTGAGCAGCTGATAATACCAGCCTGGTTCCTGGAGCACCCTTTCTGGGCTTGGGACACCAGCGAGGGTTGAGGGGAAAGGATTGCTCTGCAGACCTGGGATGAGAATTTCAGGATGGGGAAGGCAGCCGTGTTGGAGGATGTGCTGAATTAACTCTGGACTGCAGCGTCAGTGTGCTAACATGCGGTGCCCCATACCCACGGACAAGGGGGTCGCTGTTGGCACCTGGAAACTGCCCCCCCAAATGCTACCGGTCCAGAGCCAACTGGTTTGGCCTGGGAAAATCATCTATTGGGGCTGTTGTCATGCGGGTGTGTGAGGATTTCATCTGATTGATTTCTAACCAATTCTCCAATTTGTCAAGGTCATTTTGAAATCTAATCCTGTCCTCCAAAGTGCTTGCAACCCCTCCCAGCTTGGTGTCATCTGCAGACTTTATAAGCTTACTCTTCACTCCACTATCCAGGTCATTAATGAAAACACTGAATAGTACTGGACCAAGGACGGGCCCTGCGGGACCCTGCCCACCCAGTTTGACAGTGACCCATTGATAACTACTCTTTGCGTACGATCTTTCAGCCAGTTGTGCACCCACCTTCTTGTAATTTCATCTCACCCTCATTTGCCTAGTTGAACTGTTGTTTCAGTAGCTGCAGGATGGGAATGGAGTGTGCATTTGGCCATTTGAAAGGAAGGTGGCGCTGTTTGTGGAACAGGTTGGAAGCAGCAGAAAAGAACATCCCAAAGATGATACCTGTAGGTTGTGTTTTGCGCTGTATTTGTAAGGTGCAGAGCCGCGCTCAGCGGTTTGGGCAGCCCATGCAAAATGACACAGCTTGTTGCTCTTATTTTGAGTCTAGGCTTGAAACCATGCAGCCGGAGCTCTAGCTGTTAGTCTGTGGAGAGGGATGGGGGTGGATGGGATGGGAGCGGGTCGGTGTTATTCATGGGCAGTGGAGGCGCAACGCTGTGGCGATCCTTATTTGGCAGCGTGTCTTTGCCTATGTGCTTTTGTAAAACCGTACAGATTATAGGACACAGAATGAATTTCTGTGTTTAAAGCACTGTCAACTCCACAGGAATTTGTTCAATAACAAACACTGAAAATCTATTATATAATAAGCAAAAATAAACCTTTAAATGAAACCGTAATGCAACAACATTGTTTCATAATGAAACAATCTATTGAACCAATCTGGTGTCTAACAGCTACAAAGAAACCTTCAGTTAAAACAACAGTCAAACAAAACATCCAAGTGCAGCAGGGCAGGACCCGGGGCGGGGGGCTGGAAGTCGCAGGCGTCTGCCTCTCCTTTCTCGTGGGCCTTCTGGGGTCGAGTGCCAGGCTCCACGGTGCCAAGGCAGCTGAGGGCTCAGACTGGGCTCCCAGGTGCAGTTGTTCTCAGTATCATGAGCTTACGTCTGCAAAGGGCCTGGCCCGGGATCGCTTTGGCAGGAGCACAGGGAAGGGGAGGTGCTAGTGTGCCCAGGCCAGTAGCCTGGGTTGGCCAAGGGCTGCAGAGCTGGGCTGGGGCCGTGGTGACAGCACTGCGGTGCCTGCTGCCTGGACAGCAATATTTGCTGCAGCTACCTCTTTTGGCATTGCCGCCGGGCGTTGTCTCTCAGCACGGCTGCAGGCGGCTGTTTGAGGCATGTCGGAGGGCTTCTGGGGTAACAGCGCACCTCTTGTGCGATGCTCGATTCCAGGGCAGAGGGGCAAAATCTGTCCCCGCGCAACGTGAGCCCAGAGCAGAGGAAGGCGCCCAGGTAACCAGACACAAAGCAGTGTGGGATAGCCATTGGAGGACTGCCAAAGCAGCATCGGGTGCACACGAAACACACTGAACTATCTCGACTCCCAGCAAAGTCAGTTCACTTTGAAATAGAACGGCAGGGTTG